TAATAATAATAATAATAATAATAATAATAATAATAATAATAATAATATAATGAAAAGCTAATAAGTTCAGAAGGAAGTGGCTTTATGGTAAACCATGTCAAAAGGAAATTTTCAAATCAATGAGTCATTCAACACATAGCTCAAATTGAAAAAATGTGTGTATTATTAAAATATACCTACCGTGAGGGTGTATATCCACTGTTACACACTGAAATCTTCCATTTCTGCAAACACTAAAAATAGCAAAAAAAAAAAAAATGGGGGCAGGATGAATAAAATTACAAAACAGTAGCAATAAGAACTTTACAAACAAATTGCAATTTATATACTTTTAATGGAAGTGTATTTTATTACAGTGATTTCTTGAATCCCTGAATGGTATATCAATAATAAAGAATACAAGGAGCCAAACTAGAAATTTCAGTGATTTGATAAGGACTGCCACATAATTTCATATGTTTATCATAATGTTTTAAATGCACAACATTCCTGTCAACATTCCTTCATTTTCACGGATCCACCATATAAATAAATGGTGGATAATTAATACTGTACCTGTGGTATTACTCTTTAAAGTTATCACAAGAATTCAAGCATTCTGAACTTGAATTGTTTCCCCTCTTCAACTAGAAATATATTCCACTGAAACACTATACAGGTAATCCTTGACTTGCAACAGTTTGTTTAGTGACCATTCGAAGTTACAATGACACTGAAAACAGTATGACTGCTTTTCACACTTGTGACCATTGCAACATCCCCATGGTCATGTGATTTACATTCGGATGCTTGACAACTGATTCATATTTATGACAGCTGCAGTATCCTGGAGTCATGTGATCTTTTGTGACCTTCTGACAAGCAAAGTCAACGGGGAAACCAGATTCACTTAACAATGGTGTTACTAATTTAACAACTGCAGGGATTCACTTCACAAATGGGGCAAGAAAAGTTGTAAAACGGGGCAAAACTCACGTAACAAATTTCTCACTTAGCAACATACATTTTGGGCTCAGTTGGGATCATAAGGAAAGGACGTACTTTTAAATAGGCACGTCATGTGTATAAGGTTGCACTTGCAACAGAGGTGGTATTCAGCAGGTTCTGACCAGTTCTGGAGAACCAGTAGCGGAAATTTTGAGTAGTTCAGAGAACCGGTAGCAGAAATTTTGAGTAGTTTGGAATACCACCTCTGACTGGCCCCACCCCCATCTATTCTCTGCCTCCTGAGTCCCAGCTGATTGGCTGGGTCTTCTTTTGTTGCCCTGCACAGGAGAACAGAGCTGGAAAGCAGGTTAGTGGGATGGAGAGGAAATGGGGATTTTGCAGTATCTTTCCCCTGCCACACCTACCAAACCATGCCACAGGCACCAAGCCATGCCCACAGAACCAGTAGTAAAAAAAATTGAATGCCATCACTGACTTGCAATATATGTGTTTCATTACCACCCTTACTGAAGGATTTCTAAATCACTGCAAAGGGTAGTGATTTTCAACATGTACTATATATTTAGTTCTATCTTTTGGTGATTTGAAGAAAGAACATCCCACTGAATTGTACCAAATAATTAATTCAGTTCCCTGAAATGTGCTGGTGAATTCTCCATCCAGGTTTAATCTGCAAATGTAGCTCAGCACTTAAAGTTCTCTTGTGCTGAATGCCCATCTTCTCATCAAACTGGAACAGAGGAATCAGTTTTCACAACATACCAGCGCTTGTCGTCCTTCATGATAGAATCTCCAGGTTGTGTATATAAGCCTTTATAATGACAGGCGCAATCAGACATAGACACGCAGATGCCTTTCTCATTCACATAGGTATTGTCTGGGCAGCCACAGCCATCGACCGCAGTGAAACCTTTCAAGCAGTACTTATCTCCATCAGAAAGGGAACGGCAGGACTGTTGGCATGTGGTTAGATTGTAGTGGAAAACTTGGTTGGCTGGACAAGAAGTTACTTCTTTGTCTGAATTTAAGGGAGAAAATCATACATTCATAAATAAGCATCCGAGATCCATTGGATACAGATTCTGCATTCTTTTATGCTACTTTCCCATCTACCAAGCAGCATTTAAGATTTATTGTATCGTTATTGTAAACTATTCAGAATCACTTAGTAGAGGAGGGCAGCTATAGAAATTAAATAGATGGATGGATGGATGGATGGATGGATGGATGGATGGATGGATGGATAGATGATAGATAGATAGATAGATAGATAGATAGATAGATAGATAGATAGAT